ATAGAAGACAGGCTACACCTTTTGATTACTGCAACTTATTGGAGTCCTTCCTTTTCAAATGAAGCCACATTTACTATTATCTATTCTTCATGAATTAAGGCTGATTTCCATGCTATACACCTGGTAACTGTACAGATCCTCCATATACAAGTAGTAATGATCTGGTGTGGTTATTAGCTTTACTAATTCGTTTTAAAAACTTCTGAACACTCTTAGAATCATAGAATTTATGTTATCACTTGAGACAGCGCTTTAGAGTTATGTTTTATTTTAAAAATGCTCCAGCTGAGGAATCTTTCCAAATCTTTCCACAGCAAACTTATACCACTTCTTTGGACTTTTCTTGTGTCAAGTTCAACTAGCTCAACACCTTGAATATGATCTATTATAAAAAAGCCAATCCTCCTTCAGTTCAGTATTAGTTCACATTAGAAGCAACATGTAGATTTTGCTGCACCCTATAGTGTAGTATTCTAGGGCATTAAGCAACTTCTGGTTAGTTTAATCCAACAGGCAAACTATAGCAAGCCACTGGAAAAAAAAAACCACAAACTTCTACTATAAGAATGTTGTTAATGATAGGTTTAAGAACTATGGCTGAAGTTACCTTTCTAGAAGTAGTTAACTAAAGACTGTGTAGAAAAAAAACTTGTTTTGGAAAATTTTCTGCCATATCATTTTTAAAGTTCGCATACATCTCAAGACAAACATGGTTTCCTTTGAAATATGGTCTAGAGAATATTCCAATCCAAGGACTTCACAGCCACCCCCAAAAAAATAATGAAATATTGGTTCAGATTCCAAAAGCTGTGAAGCAAAAGTTGTATTATGGTATGTAAGGGGCCCCATCAATAATAAGCAAAGGTATTTCAAGAGGCAATTCATGCACCTACACACTTCTTAATTCATACCATACGCATCTCCGGCAAGTCAGGGTTTACTGGACTTAAGTCTTGTGACAACCTCTTTGCTCCAGATGAAAGTTTTGTTGTATCTGCCACTTCACCATTTGGCAAAATACCATCTGCAAACCAGACTCTCCTCTGTTCTTTGGTGCACAGCCCTAGGACAGGTTAAGAAAACAACACTGACTTTCATGTTATTGTATTGCTGTAATAGCTGAAAAGGATAAAAATTAAGCCCCTTCCCCCCCAAAATATGTAGAGAACCTGTTTACTGGAACCAAGCACAGGTAGACAGTTTGATATCAGCCAGTTTCCAGTCAGGCAAATACAGGTAAAAAAAAAAAATAATTCTCAAGTGTGCAGAGGAAGCTGCCATGCTATAGTTAAATCTGTCAATTCCTATATAAGGAAGGCTACTTCAATCAATCATCCCTCTGTAGTAAGATAAGAATGAAGTGCGTATCGCAACTAAAAGATGAAATATATTCTAAAAAAGTTAGCTTATCACTTTGTTTAAAATTTTTATTTTCACTGAAGAGGGTCTGTTCCACTTTTATTAAACATCAAAGACACTACTTAGCCACTAATCATTAGTATTTACACAGAGAAAGAACCCCCCTACTGCTCCCTGACAATTTTTCCCTAAGCAACTACTTTTTGTTTTTTTCTGTAAGACTCACAGTCGCAACACAAGCCAGAGATCTCCTAAGCTATATAGAACTGACTGAAGTAGTACCTACAGGAAAAAAAAATACAGTATGATCAGAGAGGACAATGAAGAGGTAATAACATCCACGTTTCATAAATGGAGACTTAGGATAGACTTGGTCAAGCTCATATGTGGCATCAAAACCAGGAAGTAACAGTAACTTTCCAGTGTCCCAGTTCGTAGAGTTTCCATTTCCCACAAAAAATATCACTGTACCAAGTATCTATCCATGATACGATAAACAACTCTTTCCAAACAGATCTTGAAAGTGTTACATACACTATACTATATTTAGCATACCTTCCATACCAGGTTGTTTAAGTACTGAGATAGGTAACAATGCAGAAGGTGAAGGAGAGCTAGCGCTACCAGACATCTGGGCTTCCTCCAAAGGTGGAACAGCAGAAGAATACTCAGAGGAGATACTGGAATTGGGGGCAGGACCAGTTGGACTCATCATCCTTTCAAATGCCTGTGCTAAAAAAACATGGTTAGTTTTTAAGATCTCACCATTAAATTTCACTTGCAGCGCAGTATTATTGGGGGTGGGTGGGTGGTGTTTTGCAAGAGCAGTGCACTCTTTGTGAGCTACTTATGAAAAATGAATGCTCAAGCTACTGTACAGAAGAAAATCCAGATTTCTTGATTTTCTACCTGTGTATTTGCCTAATTAATTCCTAACATAGAAACAGACCTCCCTGTACATCTCACTACTGTTGTGGTGACTACATTGAACCATATGATCCCTGTACCTTGGTGTAAATACCTATGTTACATTTATCAAGTCAAATTCCATTCAGGTGGCATATTAAAAATCTGGTATGTTTTCAACTTATTTAAATGTTAATAATCAGGACCTCAATCTTTTTCTACTGATGTTTCCATGCTTAGCCTTCAGTTAAGAAAAGGTTATCCTGTAATTCAATTACTGTAGTAGTGTGAAGTGACTTGTAAAAATATTAGTACAGAAAGCTACATAAAATGGGCAAGTAACATCTGAGAACAAGTAGAGGTACTGCCTTTAAACACACAGAAGGCTACTATGGAGGGAGGATCACTTTTGCTAGACTCCTGCCACAGATGACCCAAAAGCAAAAGTCTGTATTTAGTCCTATGGAATTCAAGCATACCTTTTTTTTTAATAAAAAATAACTAGCTTGCTACTCAAAAGTTTAAAATAAGAACTGAAATCCAGCTAAGAGGTACAATTATTCTCTTCCTCCCTCCATCTCAGAAATAGGAAAACATACACTAACTAAAGTAGTGAAGCTGCTGCAAAAGAACAAGTTAGAGATGCCAGCCGTATACATTCTTCTTTAATGATTACTGCAATTACCCCAAAAATCCTTTTTACCTTTATTTATATCATCATAACAGCCAGTACAGACTCTCGCTTCCTTCTCCATATATTGTAGTTTGCATTTTCGTTTGCAACAGCCACCACAAAAAACCTGAACCACAAAAAGATTGAATTAAATATTATAGACAAAATCCTAGTATTTCCTGAATTAAGTTCCCATTATTATTTACTCCTGTCACTGTTTAAGGCTGGGCCAGCAATTAAAGCTGGTGACAGATGCTCTCTATTAACCTCTTCCTTCTCCAGAAGGGAGAGGAGAGAAGGGAGAGAGACTTAAGGGTCAGAAAATTAAAACAATTTTAATAAAACAGTAACAATGAAAAATAGTGTAATTGTATTAATACTACTACTAATAGACATAAAAATATATCAAACCAATACTGAGCTTCCTAGTGAAAATGATGGAATTGCAAGTTGCAGCGGCTTTTTGTTAGCCACAGCACAGCGGGCACCGGAATGTCCTGGACCACGCTCCGCAGCTGGATTCAAAGGCAGGAGAACAAGCAGAGTTCTACAGCGATGCCGGCCATGAAAGAGGAAGGGCCAACCCTTGTGATACCTTAGCTTTATACTGAGGATGAGGTGGATGGGATGGAATACCTCGTTGGTCAGTTTTTGGTCACCTGTCCCGTCCGCTCCTCCCCATAGGTGCGACCCTTTTACAACTTTTCACTTGTGGCCATAAGAGACCCAGCAGTGACCTTGGTTCCCACAGGGTTAAGTACAAACACGGGCCTTTCTGCATATCAATCCTATCGTTACCTTGGTAACAACTATAAACATTGAGCATTATTAACTCTAAAAGCAGCCACTGTCTGAAAAACTTGTGGTCAACTTCAGAAAGTGCAGTTACTTAGAAGAAACTTAACTAAAGGAAAATCTACTGAAAAGAGAATTGGTCCTGTTTTAGTCAAAACCAGGACAACTCCTTTGACTAAATCAGAGTGCATTATATAGAGCATGCATATGTATCTTTGGAAGTATGGAAGGAGAAAAGGAGCTTTAGTACATTTATCTTAAAATATATTTCTGTTTGGGGATTTTGAGATTTAATCCCAGCCAATAAATAAGCACCACACAGCAGCTTACTCACTCCCCTTCCCATGGGATCGGGAGGACAATCCGGGAAAAAAAGTAAAACACATGGGTTAAGAACAGTTTAATAACTAAATTAAAATATAATAGTAACAATAATAATAATAAAATCTAATAATAATAGTGAAAAGGAATCTAACAAAAGAATAAAACCCAAGAAAATACAAATGATGCACAATGCAACTGCTCAAACCTGCTGACTGATGCCAGAGCAGCGATCAGCTCCTCCTGGCCAACTCCCCCAGTTTCTATATTGGCCATGCCGTTCTATGGTATGGAATATCCCTTGGGCTGGTTGGGGTCAGCTGTCCTGTCTGTGCTCCCTCCCAGCCTCTTGGGCACCTCTTCACTGGCAGAGCATGGGGAACTGAAAAGTCCTTAAGTGCTACAGAGCAAGGACTAAAACATGAGTGTGTTAGCAACATTATTCTCACACTAAACCCAAAACACATTGTATCAGCTACTAAGCAAAAAATTAATTCTATGCCAGCTGCAAGGAGGACATTAAGACAAAAAGTTGCTATTAAAAAGACAAAAAGTCTTACAAGGCAGAAAGCTAAGCTGTTGCACATTCAGAAAAGCTATGACAGTTACAACTGCATAGCACTCCAGTATCTCTAAAGTTTAGATAATCTACACTGCCCTTCACTCATTCTCTCAATTAACATGCATTGCGATGTTCCCTCTAATTACACTGTTCTTCTGACAAAACCCCCTCTGTTAACAAATAAGATTAGCAACACTAACAACTGATGGTTGTAAACAGGATTGTGCAGTGAAAGGTGCTTTTATCCCCAGCTCTAGACAAGGTGCAAGAAATTTCACAGCAAATGTAAACAGGAACTTGAAGTCAGTCAGTCTTATGACTAAAACGGAACCCACCCTGAAGAACTGTGTTTTAAACTGTTGCAAAACTTCACAGGATATTCTGCCAAGTGACTAAGTTCAATGAGTTCTTAATTTTCTTGGCACCCAAATTCAGACTTACATTTTAGTTCACACTTACTGTAAACAGGTACTATGCTTTGAATACACAGTGCTAGAAGAGGCATCCTAGGAAAAGATTACCAAGCCTCTCCAGATGCCTCTCAACACTGGGGATGCAAAAAGTTAGCAAGTACTGACATTAGTCTTTGCTACATCTCCTCATCCGTAAAGCTTACAGAGGAACACTGGAAAATAAGTTCATTAGTATTGTTAGTATTTCCATTTACACACAAGTGTAAGCCACAGTAGCTCACAAGGGAATTCTGAATTAAGAGTAAGCTTTGACTTTATTTACTTACTGCAGAGGACCACAGGCTGAAAAAAGTTCTACAGATTACTTGCTCAGTTGGTAAGTACCACTCACCCCACAAAAGTAGCACACTTTTCCCTCAAGATGACTCCCCTGGAAAATTATACATCTAAACACACAGGATGACAGATGTAGGCTATAAATCCTTTGCAATGGTATTGCTTTTACAGCTCCTGAAAGAATGCAATCCTTCCAGATTCAGGGACTGTGTTTTACAATTAGTATAACCATTTACCTGAATTTCTGATCATCATCACGACCTCAATTTTTTTAAGTTTAAATACTTAAGCTTAACTTAAAAGCTGAGTAAAAAGCTGATTCACTATGACTGCTATGAAGTAGTCCACTATCATCTTCCTTGTTCTATGCAAGACACATTAGTCTAGCCAGTAATGGAAGACAAAATAAAAACATTCTCTGCACTTCCCTTAAAATATTTTCATAACAAAGGTCATATGTTTCTTAACTAGTATCAGTCTTTTCCAACAGTCTTTAAGTTTCTAAGAAGGAAAAAGAAAATTACATTTTTAAAAAATAAAATACTTTAACCCTAGAAACATTCTGTCAATATTCTTTCCCTCTGTTTTGGTTATCCCTAAATAAGAATTTATTTGCTTTCAGTAACAAAGGACCCCTCCCCAATAACTTACCTTTCCACATGCACGACAGTGGTGTCGTCTTTTTGTAAACGTGAACCTGACTTGGCAGTTCATGCAGTTGGGTGCTTCTGAATCAGGAACCCACAATGGTTGTTTCCGTGACAGAGTTGCAGGTATTTTAAGGGATTCTACATTTTCAGACGGTTGATTTCCTCCAGCTTCAGAGCTGGAGTGTGCAGGGTCAGAATTTTTACCAACATTTACGCTGGTGCCTGAGAGGGGAGCTCCTGGGGTAACAGAACTGGCTTCCTGGCTTTCTCTCTCAAGTACATCTGTTTTATTCAGTTGTTTGTGACCAATAGCTCCTTGAGAAAGGCCAAGTAATTGCTTCGGTCTTGCACCTTCAGTACAAACATCAGAAACTAGTGCTTCACTACTGCTCTCAGTCACGTCCTGAATATGAGACATATTCTCTTCTGTTGCAGACACCAATTCACTGGCAGTAAGAGATACTTCAAGATTACTATTAATGCTTGTTATCTCCTCCAGTTTTGCTTGCATATGTTCTTCAGTGACCTCTGTGAAATCCAGATTATCCATGTTTGTTAAATTCCCTTCATCTGTACCAGCTTCCATTAAGTTACTATCGTCTGAAGACTTCAATACATTGGACTGAAGTCTTTGTTCGTGTAAGAAATCATCAAGCTCAGCATCACTTATTAGAGTATCACTTTTAATAACATTCTCCTCAACAGTAAAGTCAGCCATAACTGGGCTCATACTTTCATTGTAGTAAGAGTCTATACCAACACCATATGGCTCAGCTTCATATTCTAGAAAAGCAGAAGCAAACACCTTGATTTGCTGAGAATCACTGTCATCAATTACATTCTCAGTATCATACTTTTCTCCAGCTGTACTTTTTTCCACAATACCTTCGTCAATTTTAGCTGTGCATCCTTCCTGTTCATGCAAATTAGTGTTTTCGCAGGATTCCCTACCAGAGAGATCAGTTTTAGACCTTCCAGCGTGAACAGTTACAGTATCACTAATAACCTCCACCATTTCATTTTGAAGTAGAGGATTAACTTTTTCTTCTGTTACAACTAATGAACCACATATAGATACAGGAAGTGGAAGACATGACAGCGACGTCTGGACATCCTCAACTGAAATACCCGACGTTGAAACACTGTCTAGTATTTCATTGCCATTAAGTTCTTCACTACTTATATTATCTTCAGTGATCTTCTTTTCCAGTTCTACATCAGCTCCTGTTTGACCCCAGTAGCCTGGTAAAACACACTTTCCAGGTAATGTTGCATGACTTTTGTGCAACTGAGGCCTCTCTGGCAGATCTGAAGGCATGGATTCAACATTGCTGTCATCTTGTGAGTCCACCTTTTCAATGGCATTTCTTCCATACATCTCTTCACTTACTGCAGAGCATGCACTTTCATCTTGTGGTTCACAAGGCAATTTTTCATATGCTTTCTCATCTTTAGGACTACACACATTTGAATTCTGTGATGTTACAGGGACGCATGCAGTACTAAGGCAAGCAGTTTGTTCAAGCTGATCAAATACCTCACTGCACTTCACAGATTCTGTCCTGCGTTGATAATCACAAGGATCCGATATCTTTACTGCAGCATAACTGTCTGATTTTAAAGTTAAATGATTAATCTCCTCTGGTTTAAGATGTCCTGAATATTGTAGCATTGAGATCCCATCACTCTGCTCTGTACTTGAAACACCACTGCAACCAGCTGATGACACACAAGCAGGAACAGGTATGCAAGATATGCCAAAGCCAATCAAACCTTCACTGTACTGGAAGTCATCCAGCTGCAACTTCTGAGCATCTTCATGAGTAGCCACTGAATGAATTAAGTTACCTGTGTCATTAACAAGATCACACAGAGGTACACTACACCTTCGCAGGTTTAAAGCCTGAATTTCATTTAAGGAACCACTGTCCACGGTGGACAAAAGATCAGGTCCAGCAACGTTCTTCTCATTCTGTGGTGAATAACTCAAAAGCACTTCACTTGTTCCCATGTGGCTAGCTAGAGAGATTTCTTCTGATGAAGTACAATTGTTAGCATCCTCTTGCAGTTTTGGTGTTGGGTATACAGGTTGCAAGCAATCCAGAACTGAAGAAAGTGAATGGTGTTTTGAGTCATATGGATTTTGAGGTGTTCTGTAGCAGTCATATTCATCTATTTTAAGCAAAAAGAGATCAAAAGCAAAGTTTATAAAACTCCTCTGTTTCCACAGCACAGTCCCTCTAAATCCCACCTATTCATCAATACAAGCTTTTATTTAGCACATGTTACTTTCAAATTCCATGGTAACAGTCATTTGACCAATGTTATTATGCTGGAGAACAAGGCAGTGTAGAAACTAACCTGTATTCTGTTCAAATTCATCAAGTAGTTTGTCCAGGTCACAGACTGCAGCTTTAAAGTAACTGTCCATTCTAATCACAGTTCTAGTGAAGCTTTTGCCTTCTTAAACCTAAAAGAAAATCAATACAACAACATTTCATTCACAGCATTTTGCTGTTTACGAAGTTGAAGTGTTATTATTAGAAGACAACTGCCATGAAGTATTCTTTCCTTTTTAGTAATACTTTCTTCTCTCTCCAGGTAAACAAAACAGAAGTATGAACAGGGCTGCAGCCTGTCAGCCTCTATGTACTTGGAAGACGACATTATGCACAATGTGCTCAAAAATTCACCTCAAATCAGGAAACTGAGGCTGCCTTATTAAAACCAAATGCATCTGAAAGCACATACTATGGCATTATGATGTCAGGAAGTTTAAAATCAGAAGGCATACTAGGATCTTCTAGTTTGACGCCCTATACATTTCACACCATGCAGTCCACAGGCAAAAAAGCAAAACAGGCCATCATTACCCTTGCAACACAAGTGCACTGTCTAAATAAATGATGCCTACATAATCCCAGACATTTCATGCTTTAAACTGCAGTAGGAAGCACAAAAAGTATCCTTCTGTTGGCAGACGTGCCAGCAAGAAAGATGTCTCCTTTGGGAGTTCAAACCTGACAATCAGTTGAACACCGAGCACGTGAACACGACACATGAAATTGGTTCTCTTCGTTCCCAAGCTATCCATCTAATCAACCTTGATTTACTTTCAGCTATGACCAAATGTTTTAGATAGACTAAACACAGGCTAAAACCTAAAATATATCAGGAACTATAAAGCAGATAACAAGCTGAAGCATGAGACAGTCATCTTAACACAGAGTTCCAAGGCCTAGGGGAAAAAAAAAAATCCAGCATGGTAATTAAACTCATAATCTCTATTCTACTTTAAACATGAAAACCATTAAGCTTGAGTCCCAAACAAAATAATAATAAATAATTTTTTTTTCAAAACCCTCTCTTTTTAGACACTTACCAAGTCGTCAGAAAGCTATTCATTAATCACATTCCCCACTGCAAAACATCCTGTTTCATTTGTTTAATGACGATTTCCAGCCACTCAATGTTACGCCTTATTGATCACTGTGAATTGCTTTCTAATTCCACATCTTTCTCATGCCCGAACACCCATACTGTGCAATTATCTATAACATATAATCAACATGCTATTTACACTTCCCTTAAGTAAACTGCAGGGATTCAGATCCCTTTAGTCTAATGTCTGGAAACTAGACCTGTGGAGGTCTGTCTAGTTTTCCCCTCTACTTTTATCAGTGCATTTAGCCTCTGCATTGGCTGACTTCACACCCTACCCCATTCAATGTACTCTGACCGCCTAGTACTGTTTCTTCTCAAAGCTTAAAGCCCAAAGGAATACTTAAATCCTCTCATATCACTTACGCCACCCTGCAGCTACAGATCTAGATTCTATGCCTTCCTTACTCCACTGAGGTGTAAGGTTTCCACTGACTGAATTGTTCAGATCAGGTGCATTCACTTACTACCACAGAAATATGCATGTAACAAGAATACTATTTTAAGCTAATACATAGTTCAAATAGAGACTTGCAAAGCATAAGAAAGGTGAAACAGTGTGCATCATAATGTAATGGAGCACTTTGTGCCCACATATAAACAAAGAGTAAACAATCTGAATATATCACTGTATTCATATCCATGGCCATAAAGTAGTTGCTTCAACGGTCCTCATGAGCACACTGCACCATAAGTCAAGTCTCAGACAGCTTCCATAAGTCAAGTCTCAGACAGCTAATGAGCATCAAATAGCAACAAGCACATACTTAATAACATTTCTCTTACGCTCATTTGAATACAGTTCTTGCCTGTAACAATCATCCCATTTCATGACCTCGTGGCAAGTAGGAGGTTAGAGCTTGAAATGGAAGTTATTTCAAATGAAGAGCCCTCAAAGGTTAACAGGTTTTGGTGATTCATTAAGAGACATTAAAGTATAGATCCCATCCTTAAAGCATGTATTTATGGACAGCAACAAACTGACAGCCGGAAGTTAGTCAAATAGATCATATAAACTAGAAATATTGAAAGATTATGAGAAAACTGGAGATCAACAAATACATAACGCTGATTTGTATTCTCTGTAGGTATTTATTATACAACCTTACGACTCATGCACAACTTAAGTTACAACTAATGTGCAGACTAACAGCTGTGACCAAAAGTGGTGGTCACAGGCCCCTCTCGACTCTCCAGCCACATGTTTCCCAAGCCTTCATTTGTACTGCCACCCACTCTCATCTTATCCCACAAGAAGCCATGTCAAAGACTTAGAACAACAGAAAGTCATGTACTTCAGAGGGAAAACAAGGTTAGGTTTTTGCCTGTTTCTCCATCAAAACAGGTCTCTAAAGTAAAACAAACATCAACCTAGTGCAAGGTCCTCACAAGGATCTGTAAATCTGTTTCACTCTTGATTATCTACACAAACACCGTTCTTAGTTACAACCCTGCAAATTAAGCTCCCAATTTACTGCAATCAGAATCTTGATTACTTTTTAAAACAGCAACAATTTTTTTTTTTTTTTTTAAAAACCTTACTGTTAATGAAGGAAATAAACACCTATCACCAATAAATTAGACTTAAAGACATCCTCTGAAATGAATTTTGTTCAGGTATCTCAATGACACCAGAAGCTCTTATAAAGAAATCTTTCATATATCAAAAAAACACATATTGAGGAGAAGCAAGTAATCATTTCAGCTACCTTTATCTTACACTTACAAAGAACTAGAGATCACCTGTTATTTTGCATTCTTACGTAGCATAAGACAAATTCTGAATTAAGCATATATGCATTATTAGATTATAATGCTAAATAGGTAGATGAGAAGAAGATGCATTTGCACTGTACGCTGTTGGCCCGCTGACCTCTCTGAAAAAGGAAAGAAATCAATGCAAAAAACTGTAGAACTGAAATTGTACACAAATATTTACATCTATTTATTATAAATTAAATCATTTCTACAGAAAGCTTAGAAAACGATCATGATGCTTCAATCTATCGAGCCAACAGTTGTCACATTTCATTAAATAAACAAAAATTTTTAAAAAACATTTGAAATAAAATGGTTCCATAACTTCAAACAACTAGCATATTATTCGTGTAATTTTGCTTTTCTAAAACAGGCCTCCAAGAAAAAAGAACACAACAAAATAAAAAACCCCAGAACAGAGCAGACAAGCAGTAACTCCTTATCTTCTCTTTCTCGCACCAATCTGTCCTGAATCCATGAATCTGCATCACCAAAGAACTGTAAAAGCCTTCTGGTTTCTTACTTTCAAATCATTATGCAGCAACAAGACCAAGTTTTATTTTTTGCTCCCTAGATTTGCCTACGGCCAATATCAATATTTACATTAAACAAAGAGTGGATTAGAAGCTATGAAAAAGCTCTAATGACATGTTATTAAATGGCTGCTTGTTTCCCTGAGCAAAAGAAGTCTGTATGAACCATTCGTTTTAGCAAACTACATTCATTCTGAATGTATTCTTTTAAGAATTATACTTCTAACAATCTGAAACCGGCAGCACTACCACTATGTAATTTTTTTAAAGTAGGTAGCAGCTTCAGTAGAACACACAGCCACCATCCCCTCCCATCCTACAAAATCATTAAGAAAACAAACAACTGAGATGGGGAGAGGGAAAGAATTGTTTTGTATGGGCAAGGAAAGTGCACGCACACATACAAGAGTGCTGGGTGTGGAAGAGGAGACTACAAGTGCTTATGCACACAGATCTTTCCACTGTAGATTTTAGAGGAACTGTTCCGTAAACTGCTTGTCCCTTTACCATTCCTTACATCACATCAGTTTAACACTTGTTCAGTGTCTTTGTGCACAGATCAAGAACTGATCTGAGTTGCATAGAGCTTTTCCTTAGTTATTTTTCATCCAGATGAAATCCTCACATAGACATACAAAAAAGTGTGCCAGCACACTAGAAGGGGCAATGCACAAGCAGGAAGGAATCACTACCAGAAAGAAAAGCACAGGGAAGCTTACTCTGCGTGTCTAACAGACATCTTCAGGACTTGAGTCAATCCCCTCTTTGCTGCTGTCATCTCTTTAAGCACTTAAAAGCATGGACCTTCTGTCGACTAAACAGCATTAAGTGCTGTCTTCTGAACATATTTTCTAGAGCTCTGAATACACTCACTAGACTCTCTCCAAGTTGGTTCACAGACTAATTTTTTAAAAATAAACCATTAGAACAAAATGTTCATAACTGTATCTGATGCACTACGTCCTCAACAGTGCAGTGAGACATACAACTTGAGGTTCTTACCAGCTCCATTTTATACATTTTTTTCAAAGTTGAAAGCTTGAAGTTTTAAGCAGTGTTTAAATCACTCTCTGTCAAAGACTACATGCTTTCAGATTAAGATAAATTAAACATTTAGGTGTGACGAGACTTGAAGATAAAATACCAGTCCTTCTCAAAAAGGGAAATTAATGACCAAAGCACAAAATGACTACAGTACACTGATAACAGCTAGTATCTAATATTGTAAAACTCAGTTTAAGGAGTAAGATCCAAGAAAGCTTCATTTCAGAAAGTCAAGTTTTGAGAGGGTAATGCAGTTATGGTTAAATCAGGTAACATAGTTTATCGTTTTAGAGATTTACTTCCACAGATTACTGTGTTGAATTGAGCTAAATACATCTGTTACTTCCTTAAGACATCTGACTGTCTACTGGGCAAGTAAACTACAAGGTCTGACATCAAGAGAAATGCTGGGGTGCTCACTTATTACTTCTTCAGCCAGAAATATACCAAAGATGACACATTAATGGATAGAAACAGGTCACATTCTGAACATTTTACACCATTACAAGTCATCAATTCTCATCACACACTTTGTCCTTACGTACTTCTCACTTCCTTAAGAAGTAGCTAATCTCACTTGAAGAACAGAACAGACCGATCACGAGGGTTTCAAAGTACACAGGCTAGCAAAGATCCATTTTTTTTCCCCCCAGTT